ACTGGTTACCAGGAGTATCTGTCTACTGGAGAGTCTGGTTGATTTAAAGTTAAAAGCAGATGATATTGTTCTAATGTGTGAAAAAAAAAGTTGACAAAATTCAAAGTCGTGTGAGTATCTTGAGCAGAAATCTTGACTGAGAGAGGTGTTGGGACAATATTTGACCGTAAAGGGAGTTCTGAGAAAGTTTATGACACTCATAAAGGCAGGTAAGTGGTTATTGAGAGTCCCCTTTTGCGGTGATTGCAACCACTGGTGTCCGTCAAGCATGCCCAGTATTTCCAATTTCTTACAGGATTCCATCATGAACCGAAGTCGGTCAGTGAACCATTGGAAAAACTGGAAATAATGCACTGGAACCCGAATTTTGTTAAGTTTCATCATAAACGAATTAATAAATATGACTGTAGCGACTTAGGGATTGATTTCCTATCTGGGGATAGTCTCATCGACTTACAGTATGTGGGTGATATTTTCCTCCTAGATGAAGACGCTCATAACATGCAGACTCTTCTGAACACCTTCAGCAGAAATCTTAGTGTGTTAGGCATATTCATATCAAATGTAAAATGATGCCGGAAAATTGGTGTGTATCAACTCATAGGCTAACTGACTGACTGTTATCAACGTAGAACCTTGCATAGATGTGCACCAGTTTAAGTTGCCACTCTGCTTTCATGTACCACACAAAGCAAGAGAAGACAGAAAAGGCAGATTCAGGAAAGAGAGAGAGGGATAATAAACAGATGTGTGAGTGAGGCAAAAAGAAGAGTAATATGGAATAACAACAATAGTGTTTGGTTGGATATAGCTGGTGAATAACAAAGAGTGAATGCATTTGCACCAGACATTGACAACGATGATTTTGAGCCAGCTATATCACCAATCGTCTATAGTATTCATTGATTCTTTCCATCTCGATGGCCCCAACCAGATAGTCAGCCAGCTAGTCTACACCTCCTTACGTAACTGGTTGGCTTAACCTAACTGTCATGGATTTAATTGACTGTTTGGTTTGACCACCACTAGATCTTTCTTTTCCAGTCTGATGCATCCTGTGTCGGTCGGTTACTATTGCCTGTTGTCGAGGAAGGGGATGACTAGTGATACATGCGTAACACATGTCCTAACCATCTCAATCGATGCAGCTGCTTCACAACCTCGTCGATTGATGTCCCCTCCCACCTACCTAGCACTGGACCGATGCCTAACATCAATATTACTCACCCTATTACAACTACCACCTAACACAGGAGATACAATGGAGACACGCATGATCAAAGATTGCTAGCCGTGCTTTTCATGCCTTCCACATTCAATGACGATGTCTCACTCACAACCAGTCACAAAGGAGGATGGAGCGAACTGCCGCTGCTATGTAGCACACACATCCTTTGGTCGACAGTCAGCCGGATATCACGTCTACTTACTAATCCAGAGACAGCGTAAGTTGCCAGTCAAATGCCAAACGAGCTTTCTGTATCGTGCTGAGATTTCGTCAGCGATCAACCTGCTGGACTGGCTGATGCAACTTCCCGGGTAAGTGAAGTGATCGACACGCTCCACCAATCACTTCACTCCTGCCTTTTTTTAAGCTAGGAGTAAGTCGATGTATTCCAGTGTAGTCCTGTAGCATCATCTTAAATTCGACAGGAGCGTGAAAATCGCATGCTAAACATTCGAGGATTTCCGATCAGCTCAAGGTGTTTAGAAGACTGCATTTTATCAGCTTCTTCACTCAGAAGGACTGGATCACCCACACATTCTAAGTCAACGGGATTATTCCTTTCCAACAAGTCAATCAATCCCTAATCTCTGAAGTCAGGGTTTATATATATATATATATATACTATTAGTAATAAGTGTGGAGATATATGACTGATAAGTTAATGAACTACAAAGAATGAATCACGCAAAAACAGCAGGTGAGAATGTTTTACAGGTCAAGTGTAGATATATAAAGGGGAAAAAGATTTTCAATTGAATCCTGGTTGATTAACATTTATTCCTTGTTTTCTTTTCATCCGTTTTTTGTTTGCATTACTCTTCTTGTTTCCTTGCCTGTCTACGTGTGCTTTTATGAAGTGTGGCGGCAACGTTGTAAACTGCTGCCCATTAATACCACAAAATTCTTATTTGTATTCCTTTTTTACATTCCCAGTGGAACATAGGGCGCCTTCAAGCTAGAGGCTTGAAGTTTCGGTAGCAGTGGTGTTTATTTTTACACGTTGGGGTTGCTAGCCTCAAACCCAACCTTCCCTCTTTACCAGTCTTATTATGACTGGCTTAGCGAGTTAGAAGAGTGAGTCAGTTGCCGGGGATCAAACCCCAGACCACATTCGTAGTTGGCGAGCATTCTACCGCTGTGCCACCGATGCACCCACAAAATTCTACTTTATGAAAATTCATGTAGAATTTATAGAAACAACTTAGAGATGTCTAAGCGCTGATTGCATCTAAAAACCACATAACATCAATTCACAACATCATTCACCTTGTTTGATTGATAATCATATCTCAGGCTTGATTGATGAAATGTAGTCTGCATTAACTCCAACACGAAGTTGACGCATGATGAAGTCTGTAACGAAGGAAAGAACGCAACCAGCAAGTTAGTATGGATTCGATAGATGATCTTAAAATCATGGTCAAAGTGTGAGAAGCTCTATTCTATGACACCTGATCGACTCCTGTCACTCTCTCTCTGCCAACCCTGACCATGATTTCAAGATCATCTATCGAATTCATGCTAACTTGCTGGTTGCGTTTTCTTCGTTACAGACTTCTAAAGAGTTACAGCTGAGGCCTTGGAAATTCATGAATTTAAGCCAGCTGAACCTTCGTGTACAAAAGAAGTATGTACAATTCCTACTTCTGCCTTAACCGTAGAGGGATAGACATTTATTTATTTTTATCTATTTAGCTATTCTATGTACCTTTCCATTATCACTACGATTATTATTCATATTACTATTCTCTTTCTGAATTGTTTCCGCTTGTCCCACCTGTCATTTTTTCCAATATTGAATTCTATCTTATCAAATTTCACACTATTTTATGTCACGTTTGATTGATATTAGCCTACTAACCCTACAATCGTGCACCCCTTTCTAACGTCTGTACACCTTATGTATGATTCTATATATGATATTTAACTATGATTATAATCACAAATATTTGAATTGCACATTGCCAATACTGTGTGGCACAAGCCAACGGCAATTTTCACTTGTATTCTTATTATTATTACCCTAGCTGTTATCATTATTATTGCTATTTCCATTTTATATGCTGCATGTTTTTGACACTACCTCTATTGTATATGTGGAAAATTTTCTGTGATTAATTTTATTTATAATTTGAGGAAATTAGATGCAATATTGTGATTAATGCTGAAAATTCCATTCTGTATCACAAGTACTGTTTTTGGAATAAAGCAAATCATTATTATTATTATTATTATTATTATTATTATTATTATTATTATTATTTGATCTAATTCCCTCACTGGATATAATTTCTTATAAACCATATTTATATATGTACAATTGTACGACTTGATAATAAATTCGTTGTTGAAAAGAGTCTCTGCTGAATACTGTGTTCTTAATGCTACAATAGGAATTATTAAATTATTTTGATGAAGGCATAAGAAGACGTAATTTGTCTGAATCGTGTAATGTAATTTAGGATACGCCCCAAAAGATACGTTTTATAGATAGGTTTAAAAGTTGTGTTAACGTCAATTTTATATCCTGCCTCTGTAATATGTTTCGCAGCAGATGACCTGTGTCCTCACCATTAATGGGTTATGAGAATTCTGTTTGGTGCATGCAGGTGATATCATAATAATTGAAAATGTGAAGCCAATATATCCATCCATCTAATCCCGTTGAACATGCGAAAAATGATGTCACATCTCACTGTATATACGTGTGGACACACATACACAGGGAGGACTCATCGATCTCTGCAAGTAAGGGCTGGCTTCAGAGCATATTCTTAAATGGCTCCAGAAACAAATGGAATCTTCAGAACCTATTAATGGTGAGGACAGGAGATCTAGTTCCTCTATTGCGTAACATATTATAGATGGGACAGGATAGGTCTTTTAAACCTATATATGAACGTGTCTGGAGGATGGCGTATCCTAAAGTTTGTCGAAGCCCTAGCTGGCTGGTAATTAGAAAGCTTAAATCACCTTTATGCGTTCATCGAAGCAACCATTCGTCATCACACTAAACCTACCTTCCTCGGTAAACGTTGTTTTGATACCAGGCAGGGTAGATGTACTATTACCTCTGTTATTTGGTTTAGTGATCTTCATTGTTATTTTGACCTTGAATATGTCCTCCCTTTTAACTTGACCTAACTTGTCTATTTTCTCACCTCTTACCTCTTTATTAATTTCATATGAGTATTCCTATGACAAGTCCGTGTGTTCTGGATCAGATTGTTCGAAATGTGTTATGGGCGCAAATACACAATTCACGATCCAGACAAAATACATCTTCCTATTGTTTCATCAAAATTCATAGAGCGAACTAATTGTTTTAAATATTTAATTATTAAAAAAAAAGTACTGACCCGTTGTTTCCTCCTGATTACGGGCTCCTCGTAAATACTCATCCACTGTCGTTCAACCCCCCAAGACCTGGCTACGAGGCAAGCTAGTAGAATTCATAGACCATTGAATGAATGGTCTACGAGGTTATCTCCTAGCCGGAAGGCCCTGTGTTCCACCCCCATGTGGCAGTTGCATACTGATGAAGAGTCCTAATTTCTAGACTGACGAAACAGCTGTGCAATACTCCCTACTGATAATTCTCCAATGATTCCCCAACTGATGTCAGCTTGTATTGAGAATCCTGTAACCAATCAAATTGAATCCTACCAAACCAACCTACTTTTTTATTTTTCAACTCTTCGTTTTCATGTCATACATTTACTACTCATTTGTGCTCTTTCTTTTCTTCTCTTTTTCTCTTTATTATTTTTAGAAAAAGTCTTACAAATGGTTGGGCCTTATTATGCGTATGTCTGTATTACTTTCCACCGAATAGTAAATTTCGTGATCATCTCTACGCTTATCTACAAAATCGATCAGAGGCTTCAGTGATTCTAAATCATCAGTCTACACTTAATACAACAATAACACCATCTACGACAGTAACAGCGTCGGCGACAACGACTATGACAAATAACAACCACGCAACGTCAGGTACAGGTGAATGCAACACTCATCCTACACTACCGATGGAGTCTAGTCTTAAAGCAGCAGCTGCTATCGCCGCAGGTTTAAATCCTTACCACTTTACTAACGACAATGTTAAACTTGTGGATAAATGTCAACAGTCAAATGATGCCTCAATTAATAATATTTACAGTAATCATGTCAATAATTATCCTTATCCTGGAATTACCTTAGGACCATGGGATCGTCCGACTGCTGCACATTTTGCACGTGTTGCTCCCCGGTGGTTTGCTCGTTCATTAAATGTTGGTGTACGTAAGACAACAGTTAGTCCATCGATTGAAGAAATATGCCATGTTAAGGTAAGTTGTTGACGTCTATCTCTTTCGCTCCCTCTTATGAGTTATAATTATGTAATCATCTATTATTATACACTGACAAAATGGCAGAGTCTTCTGAACAGCTTGAGCTGAGTAGAAATCTTCGAATCTCTGGCATGCGATTCGCTCGTATCAACTGGAAGATGATACTTGCTAAAGACCGGACAGCATCGACTCACTCCTAGCTTAAAGATGGGGAGGATTGAAGTGGTTGGTGGAGCGTGTTGGCCACTTCACTTATTTGGGGAGTTACATTAGCCAATGTCAGCGGGTTGATCGCTGACGAAGTCTCATCATGGATACGGAAGGCTGGTATGGCATTTACCTGCCAACTTACCCCATCTCTGGCTTAGTTAGTAGACGTCATATCTGGCTGTCTGTCGATCAAAAGTCGTGTGTACTGCAGAGCAGCGGCAGCAGTTCCCTCCATCCTAATTTATGGGCTGGCTGTGACTGAGACATGGCCATTGAATGTGGAAGACATCAAAAGCCATGGTAGCTCTCATTGAACATAACTGTTCCCGTTTTCATCTCTCTTTTTTATACAGCATAATAGGTTGAGTAATATTGAGCTTAGGCATCGTTCGAGTGCTAGTAGGCAGGTGGGAGGGGAAATCAATCGACGAGGTTGTGAAGCAGCTGCATTGATTGAGATGGTTAGGACATGTGTTGCGCATGCATCCTAAGCCATCGATTGCTTTCCTCGACAACAGGTAATGTTAGCCCACTGACACAGTATCAGGTTGTTAAAGAGAAAGCTAGTGGTGTTGTTCAAACCAAAATATGGCTTCATCAGTCAACAAAATCTATAACAGTTAGTTTAAGCCAGCCAGTCAGTCAACCACGCAGGGAGGTGTAGACTGGCCTGACTGACTGATTGGTGCCTTTCGGATGGTAAGAACCAATGAAGGATGAAGACAATTAGGAGGGGTACGGCTGGTTCAAAATCCTCCTTGTAAATGTCTGGTGCAGATCTATTCATTCTTTGTGATTTGCCAGTCATATGCAATAAAACTATTCATTTCCCCTCGCACTTCTTTTGTTGAATCCCTCTATACACTCTTCTCCTGCTTTGTGTGCTACAAGGAGGTAGTGTGGCAAGTTGAACTGGTGCACAATTTTGGAAAGTTCTATGTTGTTGTTGTTGTTGTTCCGTTGAGTTTCAAGTAGAATATATATCTTCAAGAGCACATCTCCGTTTTATCCGCTTCCATGCAGTTCTCTGTAGCTGAGTGCACAATTACTCTTAAGCTCTTATCTCCTTCTCACAAGATCTCCTCCATGTCATCTTCTCTATCCCACGCCAAACTCGTCGTTTCTCATTCGGGTTCCTTTAGAGAAGCTGGCGTGGGATAGCATTTAACGGTCTCTTCGGCGTGTGTCTAATCCATCTCTATCGCCTTCTACATATTTGTTGGTTCGTTTGATGCACTACAAATTTCCGTGATGCGAATTGTTTTTGGTTGGCCATCTGATCATTGGTATGGAGCCTGGCGAAGGCAGCTGTTGATAAAGACCGTCGTCCGTGGGCTGTTGGAAATTCTTTCGATGACAAACACTATAGAGGTACTGGCTAACTTCATTTTCGTGTTGAAGATAGGAATCTTGTTAGTTATGCTGGGGTGGTAGCACATTTCCATATTGATATCAGAGTAATCAAGGTCTGTCTTGACTTACCGACCCTGCGTTTGATTTCCTCATCCGTTTCGCCAGAAGTTGAAACAATTCTGCCAAGATAAGTGAAATGCTTGTTTTTGTCGATTGGCTATCTTTATCACCTCCGGCTTCTTCATGTTCACTTGAAGTGAAGTCTTGTCTTTGCTACTTCTTCTATCAATTTGGTGGGTTTTTTACCCGTGAATTCTCAAGTTTGTGACATTAGGCATAAATTGTCCTCTAAGTACTAATTCTTCTTTAGTCTTTTTGTCTGTTCAATGTATTCCTGTCTTCTTACACTTCTTCATGCATGGTGTACCGCATGATGTACCAGTCCTTCACAATTAAAAAATGTCATCGATGGTAATTGTAGGCAGCCTTGTCTTACTCCTGTCTCTTCACTTTAAGTTCTTTATCCGGTTCATCCAATGTACTGACTGCCTGAAGTTGCATATAAAGTCTGTAAACAACACAGTAGGAGATGTATAATGACACCCTATCATTATTTTATACTTCAAATATGTGATCTTTCTTGTTAGTGGATGTTTACATGTCTAATGTTGAAAACTTGTCCTTTGATTTAATTTCTAAACTGCTCTTCTTCTATAGGAGATATCATTTTGATATGCGACGGTCATGAAGATGCAAGTCGTCTATTAGACACACTTCAACTCTGTACAGAATCATATCAGTCTTACATGCGAGGAAGAAAGTCGTAACCAGCTTGCATTTTTAGACATACTTCTGAGTCGAAGGGAGATGATGGCTCAATAAGACGATCAATTTACAGAAAGCCCACTTGGACACGGCAATACCTTAATTTTCATAGTTTCTGTCCATTACAGTACAGTATAAAAGAGGCTTGATGAAATGTTTATTTAAGAGGACTCAATGTATTTGCACTGCTGATGTTATAGACAAAGAAAATGAAATATTGATGGATACTCTTGTTGAAAATGGGGATATCCTTTCAAATGTTTAAACAGATGTAAAAGTCAACTAGTCACTAAACCTACTTAGAAAAATGTTCTCATCAAATTACCATATAACGGGGAAATAAACAGTAGGATTGTGAGACAAAGGTTGAATTCGGTCATCTGTAGAACCTACTATGCAGCCCAGCTTGTAATTATACAATTGGTGGAAGGTGGCTAGCAGTGGAATCCAGGATGCGCATTTCGTCCTATTTGGGACTCGTCAGCTGGATGTACCTGCATTTCTCAGTGAGTGATGATGTTCCCACTGAGGCTCGAACCCAGTACCCATAGTTTCAAACGCCAAAGCGTTATCCACTAGACCACTTGGGCCACCAATTGTATACTAACTAAATGCCCAGACATCGTCGAAGCATCTGCACAAGAAGCCGACATGTCAACCTGAGACCGAGCACTTCGGTCCAATCAATCGACGGGAAAATCAAAAATTCAATTCAACAGCTTGTAATTGTCGAAAAAGCTAAAAATATGCTCTACTGCAAACCTCAATAGTGCACAAGTGATTATATCACATCCCATACAATTTACCAATTTTCGTGTGTGTGTGTGGACACACATCCTTAGGGAGTAATCGCGCTTTGCACGTGAGGGTGGGTGAGCATATCCCAAAATGGTTAGAAAAATAAATGAATTGTGGTAAACCAATAGATGAAGGTGTCCGACTACCAACTGCATCTATAGCCAAACATCTAATCGAGATGAACCATAAGATTGATGTTAACTCAGCCTTTAAGGTGATTTATAAAAATGGTCAAGGGTGCTGATTGAAATACGCTGAGGCTATAGCTATTCATAGACTTAAGCCCCCCTTGTGTATTCAAAAACAGTTTGTTATTACTCTTAACCTACCTACCTTGATAATCCTTATTTGATTGGATTACCAAACGTTGTGTTAATTATTCTTAAATCCCTTTGTGTTTTGTCACTTTGTTTAATTTAACTTTTCCTTAAATATTGACTTGACAAATAAATGTGTGAGGGATCAGATTGTTCGAAATGTATAGCGCCAATACATCACATAACTTTTCAGATAATCTCCGTCTTCTAATAATGCTGCTATCCGAATGTATAAAAGGGACTAATTGTTTGAAATTTTTTGCCTCTATCGAATTTTATCAGAGGGAACCTTCATGTGTGTGAGTGTGTGTGTGTGTCTAGGTGATAACTGTTTTACATGTTGAATGCTGGCTAGCTAAGGTACTTGCTAACCAGGTAAGAAATTCTGTTCATACGTTTATAAGATTCATTGACCTTTCTTCTCTTTCTACAACCCCACGATAATCATTAACGTGATTGGGTGTGTGTGTGTGCAGATAAACACAATATCCAGACTTCATATTTAATTTATAGAACACAATTGACAAACGTTATTTTATGTGTCACAATGGGGATTATTAATTTAATATAAAAACGTTATTCTCACAGACTAAATCTCTCACCACCGCACCACTCTCCCACTGAGAGAGAGAGAGAGCTTCTACTAAATGGTACTTGGAATATACATGTGCCAATGTAGTGGGTAGGTTATATATGTCCAAACCAAGTTCACTTTTAACTGTTTGAAAAAATTTGGGCATTGGGTATATGATATCCATTATAATAGAGGTTTTTGTATTTCCCAATGAATGAAAAACAAAACGAGATTGTTTTTACTGACGTTTCGCTATTTAATGCTAATAGCTTTCTCAAAGTATTATTAAACCGGAATTTACAAAATCTCAGCATATATATAACAAAGAGTTAGGGGGTGAGAAAAATATATAGATTTAGTTCAACTTAAAAGGACATATTGAAAGTCAAAATAACAATGAAGATCGCTCAAACTAAATATCAAAGGTAATAGTATATCTGTTATTATATCAAAATACAGTTTACTAACTTGATCATCGTTCGTCAGTCTGGGATCATTTTTTGTTGTCAAGTTGGCGAATGGGTAAAGATAACAAAATCAAGTGTAGATTGTTGGATTTTATCAGTGTGTAATATATGAAAGAAGTGTGTGTTTACATAGTGAATTTGCTCATCACATTTGCGTTGATTTTGTTACTTCATGGGTGAGGGTGTTGTAGCCAGGTCAGATTCTGTTTTAGTCCATCATTCCTATTCAGGCAATTTGGATTCCACTTGATATGAAGTGCTTCTGATATTAGACGTTCTTTGTGGTTTCTGAAGTTTTTCTGGATTATTTCAATATTGTCAAAATCAATTTTGTGGCCTGATTCTATAGCATGTAGACCTATGGCTGATGATTTTTGAAGTTTTTCTAGTTCAATTGGATTTCTTGGTGGTCGAAGAGATGCTCTACGGTGTTCATTTCTTCTGATTTTGATTTCTCGAGATGTTTGTCCGATGTAGATCGCATCACATTCCGAGCATTTTATTTTATAGACACAATTAGATAGAGAATCTTTCGGGATTTGGTCTTTTATATGGACAAGGTTGTTTTGAAGTGTGTCCGATGTTTTGAAGAAAACTCTAATGTCGAGCTGATTGAGTACTCTTCTGATATCGTCTGACGTCTCTGCTCTATATGGAATGACGACTGTTGAAGTCCATGTTTTCGGAATGCATTTTCGGCCATACTTAATGTCTGTGTTGATTTTGTTGATGAAGTTCCTTGGGTAGTTGTTTTGCTTGAGAGTTTCAGTAATGTTTGATATTTCTTCTTCTTTTTCTTGCTCATCCGTTATCAGGGAGTGTGCTCGTCTAAGAAGACTTGAAACAACTGAAATCTTTGCGCTGATGGGGTGTGATGATTTGAAGTCTAAATATTTATTGTGAGTGGGTTTTCTTCCTGAATATGGATATACTAAAATGTCCGTTTTCCCTTCTCTTAACTAGGCAGTCTAGAAATGGAAGTTCACCGATGTCTGATTCTGCTTCCGAAGTGAACTGGATTTTGGGAGATACACAGTTTATTTTCTCCAGGAATGAATTGTGTAGATCTCGTTTTAGTACTACAAAAGTATCATCCACATATCTTAACCATATTTTAGGAGTGAGTATGCTTGAAAAGATATTATTTTCGAATTTATTCATGAAAAGGTCGGCGACTATTGGGGAGACTGGTGAACCCATAGCAACACCATTTGTCTGTCTATATAAACTCCCTTTAAATGTAAAATAATTACTTTCTAGACAGAATTTTAAGCTCTTAATTATTTCACTGGTGTCCAGTGGACATCTTTGTGATAGTGTTGTATCTGATTCTAGTAGACTGGAAATGATGTCAAGACTTTCGGTAATAGGGATGCTAGTATATAGTGAGTTAATATCATAGCTTACCATAATGTCTTCTTTATCAATTTCTCGGTGTTCTATTTGGGATTTGAAATCATATGAATTTTTTACAATATTTTGAGTGTCCTTTTGTAGTGGTTGTAGTATCGAGAGTAAGTATTTAGAAAGGTTGTATGTTGGTGAGTTGGTGAAATCTATTACTGGTCTTAATGGAACTGTGGGTTTATGTATCTTTGGTTGACCGTAGAATCTTGAAGGTATATAAGATTTTGGTTTTAGTGTAAACCAGAGCGAATTTCCAATTTTGGGTTTCATTTCTTGAAGTAGTCTGTTTGTATTTAGTTTCATTTTGTTGAATTCGGCGGATTTCTTCTTGTCTTCAATGAGTAAGTGTGGTCCTTCAGAGAGAGAGAGAGAGCTTCTACTAAATTGTACTTGGAATATACATGTGCCAATGTAGTGGGTAGGTATTTGTGTACAGTTTTTTTGCTTTCTCTTTTCTTCTTTTCCTTCGTCGTCTTTCTGTATAATTCACCAACAGGGAGAGAAAGACGAAATGAGGTCAGACAAAAATACAGAGACAGAGGTTTTCTGTCTTTTTTTGCTTGCCTATAGATACCATATCTGCGTTCTGTCTTCCGTGTTAAGTGAAATAATTTGGTGAGTAACAATGCTAGGTCAGAAGAATAGGGAATCCAATTGTGGATAAGGTTATGAAGCTAAATGGATTGGGATGGTTGGAACACGTGTGTTTTGCATACCCAGCAAGCGATAGGCTTCTCCGTTGACCATCAATATTAACACTGATATGTGACTGAGTTAGAAAAGATTTAGGGGGTGGTCAAGTCAAAACGTGGCATCAATCATTCCCCATTTGAAGTCTTTGACAGTCGGTTTGAGCCTGTCACTTTCGGCGGGGGGTGGGTGGGGGTGGGTGTAGGTGTAGAGTCCTTGTTTGGGGATCTCAAGATGTTGAGAACTGATGGCTGGAGACTGTTGGGAATATGGCTTAATTTCGTTGTCATTGTTGGAGATCCATTCAGTCTTTGTATGTATTCTCCTGAATCCATTATATCCTCATATTTTCTTTTCTCTATGGAGTTTAGTAATTCGAGATTGTTGGGACATGTACTGCACATGCCAATCCATTGCCGCCTCCATCCTTGTCGAGTAATATTAGTTGACTTAAGAGTTAGTTGGGTAGTAACACCGCAACTTGGTAATAATCCATTTGGTTTTTGACTATTGGTTTGAACTAGACACGTAGGGAGGTAGAGACTGTCTGGTTGGACTCTGCTAGACTCTAAGAATGATGAATGGCTTGAGACTGTTGATAGAGATTGATTCACTCTTTTCAGTCTCCTAAATTCTAGGTCCATGTTACTTTATTTCCCTCTACATGTCGCAGATGATTTGTGTTTATTGTCACACAAACTCGAAGACTTACAGTCGGAAGCGCCAACAAAATGGCAAAAGAAGCAGTGCAGCAAAGACAGGAACTCCAGGTGAATATAAAAAATGGGGTGGGTGGGTGGGTGATGAAGATAACTAACCAACGGCAACAACAACCAACATCAATCACTTTAAACAGAAGAAATTTGAACAAGGTTACTTCCTTTACCAATCTAGGCAACACCGTCCCAACTACGGATGAAGATTTCAACATCAAAATCGAAAAGATAAGACATACCTTCATCACTCTGAAATCAGAACTTTCTTGTTATGAGGCAATCTCGTTAGACCACTCAGTCACTGATATCCCCAACTCAATATTCCATGAATTTCAACTTTCACCAATTCTTGATTTTAGCGCGACCATCAGTCCATGTTATTGGACAGCATTTGTCCTCATTTCCGACCGGATGGACCCCAGTGGTCACCACTTCTCACTAGAACTACCTCCAGTCACTAACGAGTATCATCGATTGATTCCAGGGTTTGGTTTGACCACCCCTAAAGCTTTTTCAAACTGATTGAAAATGTCCATCAAAATTTGCAGAAGAATGGTTACTGAACAAAGATTACTCTTTTCGATAACCCCTTCATCATCAGGCTCTACAGTTATATATACGCATTATAGTGAATGAATGTCAGAAAAATTAGGAAAGATAATAATACAAATTTATGAATTTATAGTCTCTACTGAAGACTGGCCAGGGCAGTAGAAGTGGCTGGCTTCCTTCGCACACAGAGCACTAGTTGTTTGAGGCGAATTGCAATAGCCTGTGCTGTTTGGAGCATGCAGTGCTTCGATGTTCTTGGCAATTTATTAGGCACCCGGTAGATGATAGAGAAGGATTCTTCAATGCTGGCTGGCTTTTTAGCCGGTTTGAACCAGGTGTTCTAATATCGAACTCTTGATGGTTTTCACTACACCTCTATTTAGTCATGTTCTCGAGCGAGCACAAAAAATCAAGTTCCTAGTGCAACGGCTGATATAACTCGCTCCACAAGCGCAGTTGAATTGGTAGATACAATTTGAAGTGGCCAGCTAGTCTAGGTACTTCATCTTTCAGTCGAGGTAGCACCATCGGTCGTGTAGAGAATAAGACGTGTAGTTCGCCAGCGTTAAAAGTTCTTTGAACTGATTTTCTTAATTTCCTTTTAATTATCTCACTCGGTATATCGCCCCTTGAATTGTAGTCGTATGTATAAAGAGGCTTCTTGTTTACATATAGTGAGTAGTCCTTTTCCGCCGCTTTCTTTGTCATGTGTTTCTTGATAAATTTGTCGGGATAGCTATTTCCAATCATATACAGTGCTTAATTCATCTTCAATTACTTCTTCTGAGCATATGGCTCTAACTCCGTGGCCCATTGGGGGTCTTTACTAAATTTCTTTTGTACTTGAGAGGAACATCTGTCGACGGGGAAGACGAAGACTTGGAATGCCTAACACGTGTCCTAACCATCTCAATCGATGTAGTTTCCCAACTTCACCAATCGGCTTGCCCTTCTCCCACCATATTACTCAGTATATTATCCCACTGAGCTTCTCAATCAGACCCATTTTAATCCCTCTCTCTCTCTCTTCGTTTTTCGTTGTCTTCTAGGATTTTCTGCTGAAACCATGCATATTTGGCAGTTCGTTGGATGAAATGATGCAAATACAGGCATATCGATTTCCTTATTTACGTATACCATGGATACAGATATTTCTAACAGAAGAAATTTTACACTTGAATGGTGCTCAAACTGAAGGAATTTTCCGGTAAGTTAAATCAATCACTTAATTCCCTCTTCCTCCCTTTCTTGATAAAATGGGGGTGAGAGGAAGTAACTATTTCAAAATATAAGAAGAAATTTGAAAAGTTTCTTTCAAAGTCTCATCTCGAACGAAGCTATAACGACAACAATAGATACAGCAAGATAAAATAACAGGTCCATTTTTTATTTTGTTGGTATTTAATATATCTGGAAAATTTGCAACACTACGTATCATAATCGAACAGAGATTAGAATGGCAGTCAGCTCTCTACCTTAACTTCGTCGACTTTGGAAACTACTTTGCTACCAGGGAGTGCCGCCAACTATTACACACCTCATCCAACAGTCGTGTGATAATGCTGCATGCTAAGTAATCCACAACGGGAAACTCAAGGAATCCTTCGAAGCAAATACGGAAGTAAGACAGGGCTGGCTGCCTTCTATTTCCAATGATTTTCTTGATTCCGGTAGACTGGTTAATGTGACAGACAGTGGTGTGGAACGAGGGGATGAGCATAAAATACACCCACACAAACAACTTGGAGGATCTGAATTTCGCCGATGATATGTGTTTGATTTCCCACAAACTGGAAGATATGCAAATGAAAAGCAACAAGTTGGTGATAGAAGAAGCATCCAGAGAAGGTAGAAAGGACTTCAGATGAACATAGATAAAACAGAGGTGCTGAAGAATCATGGCCTACTGCAACAGCAACAACAACAGACAACAACCAGCCAACATATATGGGAGGAGTTTGAAAGAAGCCACCTCCTTTACCTTTCGTACCTGGAAAGCATCGTTTCAACCACAGGCTGACGGATATCAAAGTGAGGATCGGGAAAGTAAGGCAGGCTTTCATTACTCTCAAGTATGCGTGTAGATCAACAGCACTCAGCATGAAAAGTATGATCGGGATTTTCAACCCCAATGTAAAGTCAGTGCTATTCACTATACGGATGAGAGACGTGGCGCTTCACGAAGAGCACTTCGAACATACTACGGACCTTCATCAACATCTGTCCTCGCTCAATAATACTCAAGATCAGATAGCCAACCAGGAAAGATGAGCAGCAGAGAGGGATCTGTAGAAGCGAACCAACCCAGCAGGAACCAATTGTGCAACAAATATGCAGGAAGAAATCGTGTCGGTTTGGCCATACTCTGTGAAAACAAACCATCAAGTGACATCGCAAACTAGGCCATCACTTGAGTTGAAGTGGAAGTTGCGCTTACGTCTCCTATACATAGCTGAAGCTGTTGCAATAAGATCGACTAAACTGGAACTCCTCTCTACATTCAAAAACAACATGTCCAAACTCTGTTCCTACCATGGTCAAACTTGGATGAATGTTTCTTATTCTCACCAACAGTGCTTTTTCCTCTTAATGCCACTGGCTTTTTTTGCTTGGCATACTAGTACCTACGAGGGTGCACTGCAATAGAGCTGTGAATAGATCTTGTTTGTCCCTTGCATAACCACTATGCTGGATGATGTTTAGAAATCCCATAATGTAATTGACTCGTTGTATACCCAATGTTACTAAGTTCTATAGGCGCATTCAAACTAGTAGATACACACAGAGAGGAGTACATATTAGGTAGGTTATCCTTATTTCTCGAACATAAAATCAGAGTGGTTGTAGAGAGACCGTGTATACCTCTGCTTCATTGGATGGTGCTTTTACTGTCTTCTTTAGGCGCTGTGTTCCCATTTCTCTGGTGTTTGTGTAAAGTCAATTATTAGATTCGCCATATATACATCAGTCCTATAGGGTAAACACATTGTCTTTACGAGTTTGACCACAGATTGATATCAGTTAGAGAACCATTGAAAACCACCTGGAAGTACTGGACACCTGTTTCATCCTTGATATATATATATATATATATATATATATATATATATATATATATATATATATATATATTGGTGGTCTCTCTTTCTGTTGCTCTCTTAGTCTGTGACCATTTCACTTTGATGAACCTGTCTCCTTTAACAATGTATATTCCCCTTATATTATATATAATATGAGTGTTTGTTGACAGTCCGTTGCTTGGTGACATATATCCATACTATATGTGTGGTTGTTGACATGTCTGCTATATTTTGCTATGTATATATGGATCGATACTCCATTATAATTAGCCATTCATGTTAAGACTGTCTATTGATTGTTCACACACTTGTCTGGACATTCATATATATTTCGCTCTCACAATCTTGTGTGACACTTTTGGTGTGATACCACTTTTGCATTCTCCTTGTGTTCGGAAAATAGAAGTATCATCGCAAACCTAATGGTCTTCTGATTTCCGCCTTCTTGCGTCAGGACTATTAAATTCTCGACCAGTACATAACAATAATTTGGCGACGGGGAAAACTACTATTAACCACTCAGCAGCAGCAACATAACAATCCTAGTCTAGGAACTATTGGCGGTACTAACCCAGTGGTTCTCGAAATGATATCAATCCGTGATCAACTCGCAAAAACAAAACTAATCCTTACAAACCAACTATAGAAAATTAATCTGATGCTCGCTAGTGACTCTTGCTACAGGACGGAGTTTCCTGGAGTTTTAGTGCGAAGTCGTTACCAGTGTGGTCCATCCAGTCAAGTGTAAGGATGGAGTTCCCATCGATGACATTGGTTGGTGGTCGCGCTAAATCACGAATCGGTAGAAGTTAGAATTCATGGGCTGGCCATTGAATTGGGTACCAGTGAGTGGCTGAATGGTACACGAGCAAGCCTAGCAATCGGGAGGTCCTGGGTTCGAACCCTCTGTGGTGTGGGTGCGTACTTCCCATGATTCCCAATCTAGGATGAAACAGGTCTCCAGTACTCCCCCTGCTGGTTTTGCAATGGTTCTCTAACTGATATCAATCCGTGGTCAAACCCATAAAAAACAAAAATTAATCCTTACAAACCAATTATAGAAAATAAACATATTGTGTATGAGTTGATGATACAGCCTCCTACCCTCCAGCTCCCCAGACTTAAGTGTAAGTGAAGTATGCAGGGACTCCAACCGTGCTTGTGTGTGTGAGCCTATTTTGTCTGTAAATTGTCTATCTGCTTATCATCATCCCAGTGTGTTATGGAATACAACCCACCCACCCGCCCACCTACTAAATAGACAAGTACCGTCTGAAAATGCCAATTTAATGATTTACACTTGTGTAATACCTAAAGCTGGGATAATAATCATCTATGTCTAGACACTGTATAATATTTATTTTTTATATTTCATCTGTCAAATGTCTGTCTATTTTATGTATTCACCTATCTATGCATGTATCTATGAATTGGTAACTCTTATCAATGAATGAATGAATGATTAGTGTTCATCTTGCGTTACTATGTTGATGAATAGAATGTACACACATATGCATATGTCTTCACAATGAAACTTCTCATTTCTTTTTTTTTGTGTTAATTTTATTACTTTAATTTATGCTTTCTCTGTGATTTCCATCTTGTTTTCTCTCTTTTTATATTATTGCCTAAATTCCATTAATGTTCCACTCTCAAAGTTGTGAATTTCTATTGATTTTATGACTGATTCAACGGGGGGTGTATATTATGCCATGATTCATCATCAACGCTTGACTTTCACTTTTGCCTTCCTTCTTCAAATCAATAATGGTGTATGTTTCTTTTTTCTTTTCTTTTTTCAATTTTTTCTCTTTTTGATGTTTCAATGAGTATCTTTACTGGGTGACATCCAAAGGACCTTAAACAAGCTCAGCAAAACTGGACAGATCACAAAACAAGACCAATGGCGAATGAAATCCAATGGACCAGTCCTACCTCGATTCTACGGCAGACCCAAAATACACAAGGCAAATATCCCGTTACGACCAATTGTATCACTCCCAGGAACTCCAACATATAATTTGTCCAAGGAATTATACAGAAAACTAAAACACCTAACGGAATCCTGTGATCACTCCATCAACTCTGCTATCCAATTCCTAGAGAAAATCAGAGACATCCAAATAGATGAACAAGAAATAATGGTATCCTTCGACGTGACAGCATTATATACCTCTATCGGACAAAAACTAGCAAAAGAAACCATGGAGCAATTACTTAGCAACGACGAACAACTTCCACAACAATCAAAAATGCAACACACAAGCTGGATGGAATGCATAAATCTATGCCTAACAACATACTTCCAATTCAACGGCCAAATATATGAACAAGTCAAAGGAACACCCATGGGATCGCCAATATCAGGTTTGATTGCAGAAGCAGTGATGCAAAGACTCGAAAACATAATTCTACCAAAGATCAAACCCAAGATTTGGATACGCTACGTCGACGACACATTTGTAATAATCAAAAGAAACGAATTAGACAAAACTCACAACTTAATAAACAACGTCTTCAACGACATCAAATTCACAAGAGAAGAGGAATCCGAGAACAAAATACCATTTTTGGACGTCTTAGTCAGGCGAACAACTACAGGAGAATTAGAAACTCAAGTTTATAGGAAATCAACTCACACAGACCAAATACTGAATTACAACAGCAACAACCCAATAGCACACAAAAGGAACTGCATACAAACACTATTCAAGAGAGCAAGGACTCACTGCAGCACTCCCACCTTAAGAAAAATTGAAGAAAAGTATCTCATGGACGTCTTCCAAAAGAATGGATATCCCCGGAATTTCATCAAGAGACATATACCCCCAAGCCAACCTACCAAAACAAAAGCCACCAAGGAAAACACAAAGAAAATCGCCTTACCATATATAAAGGATATCTCAGAAATCACTAAAAGACTCTTCAAACCTTTAGGAATTGACGTCGTACACAAACCAACAAAGTCGCTGCACTCAATTCTATGTCAACCAAAAGACTCAACAGCAAAAGAAGACAAAACCAACATCATCTACAAAATAAACTGTAACAACTGTGAAAAACACTACATTGGCCAAAGTGGACGTCCCCTTCGTCTTCGTATCCACGAACATAAGCTAGCCGTCAA